GATCGTCCTGGAAGTGAGCATGGTGGTGTCATATTGCGAGGACAGGGATGTGCTCCCCCCATTACAACATGCCCTTCTGATACTGAGTTCCTTGGGGAAGACATTTTCTAAACTGTCCCAAACAGGATGCAGCCCGTAAGAGCAGTGCCGTGTAAATTGTGAAAGGTTTCATGGTTCTGTTTGTTCTGGCAGTGCACACATCACAGTTTCTTCATTAATACAGCATTCTTAGAAAATAATGAGTCCCACCTCTTGGGGACTTTGCCAGAGTGTGGCAGAAATTTATGTTCTCAAGCTTCATTCATATTGTAGCATGTAACAAGATGTCCTTTTTTATGATGGAGTAATAGTTCAGTGTGTGTGTGTGTGTGTGTAAATATGTGTGTGACTACACATACACACAACATTTTCTTTATTCATTCATGTGTTGATGAATTTATTTATGTATTTGAAACATTAGGCTGCTTCAGCCTTTTTTTCTATTGTGATAATAGCTCTATAAGCTTGACTGTTCAAATATTTGATTCCCTCCTTTGAATTCTTTTGGTTATATACTTCCAGTGGGATTGCTTGACATTGTTAGAATATTATGTTTAAATTTTGAGGAAACAGCACACTGTTACACAGTAACTGTGCCATTTTACTACCTCCAGCAAGGTTCCAGTTTCTTCACACCCTCACAAACCCTTTTTTAAAAAATAGTCTTTATCGTAATAATTGTATGTGGTCATTTCTCATATGGTTTTGATTTGCATTTCTCTAATGATTAGAAATGTTAAGCATCTTTTCATATACTTGTGACTACTTGTATTTCTTCTGTGGAGAAATATGTATTCAGGACTTTACTCATGTATTAATTGCATTATTTTTTTATTATTGACTTACAGAAGTTCTTTACATATTCTGGATATTAATCTCTTATCAGATAGTTTGCAATTTTCTCCCATTTTTTAGATTGTTTTAAGAACCTTCCAGCTTTATATTTAGGTCTTTGATCCATTTTGAGTTAATTGTATTTTTGGTATGTGCAGTAGGAGTGCAAATTAATTCTTTTTTTAATTTATACAATAGCTGGGGTGCAGGCCAGAGGCTCAGGAGGGTGAGAGGATTCACCAGAGACAGAGCAGGGAGCAGAACAGGCAGATGGACTGAAATACACTGCTGAGGGGAGCAGTGGGTGAGGCAGGAGAGGTCTGCCCTGCCATGTGGGTTTCTCCCTGGCTGGCCGGGGATCAAACCCGTACTGCAGAGGCTGCGGACAGCTTCACAGTACTGCGCTCAACCCGCTGCGCTACTAGGGAGGCCCGAGTGCAAATTAATTCTTTAGTCGTGGAGATGTGATTATTATGGCACTATCTGTTAAGATTGAAGATCATATCAATGTATATACATCTTTTGTTTTTCATTTATATTATGGAATAGTACAAATATATACAGAAATAGTATAATGAATTCCCACATATGCATCATACAGTTAGAAATAATAGATCATTTGTATCTGATATCTATTGTACAGTCAAAATAATAAAAATTCTGTCATTTCTTTAAAAGATTTGTTTTTATTTATGCATATAAGAACTGGGGTACAGGCCAGAAGTGGGGGGGTAGTGAGAGGATTCACTAGAAACAGAGTGGGGAGCAAAACAGGCAGACTGACTGAAATACACTGCTGAGGGGAGCAGCAGGCAAGACAGGAGAGGTCTGCTGCGCCATGTGGGTCACCTCCTTGGCCAGGGATCGAACTTGTGTTCGATAGCTGCATAGCTGTGGATAGCTGCATAGTGCTGATGCTTAACCCCTTGCATAACCAGGGAGGCCCTACATCTTGCAATTTGTAGTGTACACGCTTTTTCTTTTCTTTTTTTTTTTTTAAAGATTTATTTATTTATTTATTTATTTATTTATTTTTATTTATACAAGCACTGGGTACAGCAGAAGCGCGGGAGGGTGAGAGAATTCACCAGAGCCAGAGTGGGGAGCAGAGCAAGCAGAAGGACCGAAGTACACTGCTGAGGGGAGCAGCGGGCGGCAGGAAAGGTCTGCGTGCCACGTGGGACCCTCCTCCGGTGGCTGGGGAGCAGCCGGGGATCGAACCGGCGCTGCAGAGGCTGCGGGCAGCTTCACAACCCAGTGCTCAACCACTGCGCCACGGGGGAGGCCCCACTCTTCTTATTTTCTGTGACAATATTTGTTGGAGAAACTAGGTTATTTTGTCCTTTAGGATCTCCTACATCATAGATTTTGCTCATTCTTCTGTTTACATTTACCTTGTGCCTCTAGACCCTTATTTTTGTAAAGTGATACTTAAGAAGCTGGATTAGATTTAGGTTTAATTGTTTTTTTGGCAAGAGACAGTGGCATTGAGAAAATTTTGCTTTGTCATGTCAGGAAACACTTAACATTTCATTGTCTTGCTTTTTAGTGATGTTAAGATTCACCAGTGGGCTCAACATGATCCTTCATCTATTGTTTATCTTATGTGTTTAGCAGACATTGATGTTCATTACTTAGATTCATTATTTAGTCAGAGATTGCTAATTGGTGTTTTTCTAATTCTGTTATTTCTTCTGTATTTATCAGCTGTGATTATTCTCTAAGGACAAAGTTGTGCTCAACATCTCTTTGATTTCTCTGTAGTAATACAAGAGAGGCAGAATATATGTTTGATTCTACTCATTTGTCAATTCTCAAAATAGTCTGTTGTGCCCTAGCAATCTCCAGAATTAAGCAAAGTTGATTTTTTTCTTTTTTGAGTGTCATTATGAACTCATGGGTTTTTATGTCTTTGATGTTTGGTAATTGAGAATTCTTTTGTCTTTTTTAAAAAACCTAATTGTAGTAGTTTTGCCAATGTTTTTGCTTTTTGCTTTGACAAGATGTCCTAAGTGCATTGTATCACATGCCTGACCTGGAATAAGTCATTTCTCCAAGGAGCCCTTATTTCTTTTAGTGGGAAATGAGTTCACAGTCTGGAGGCAGGAATGCTAATTGCTAGTGGGTTTTCATTGCTTTTAGGCATTTTCAGGCCAACTCTTAGGCTAAATTCTCTACCATAATTTCTTATTCCTAGGGACAGTTCCTGGGAACACTATTCCTTGATTTCTGTGTTCTGCACTCTTTCCTTTAACCTTAAAGGTTAATTTGACAGTGGGCCTCCCCAGTGGTGCAGCGGTTGAGCGCTGGGTTGCGAAACTGCCCCCAGCTTCTGCGGCACTGGTTGGATCCCCAGCTGCTCCCTGGCTGCTCCCCTGCCACCGGAGGAGGGTCCCACATGGCGCACAGACCTCTCCTGCCGCCCGCTGCTCCCTCAGCGGTGTACTTCGGTCCTTCTGCCTGCTCTGCTCCCCACTTTGGCTCTGGTGAATTCTCTCACCCTCCCGCGCTTCTGCTGTACCCAGTGCTTGTATAAATAAATAAATAAATAAATAAATATATATATATATATTTAAAAAAAGGTTAATTTGACAGAATAGACCATCTTTGGCTCACCATTTCCATGGATATTTAGATATATTCATTATCTGTAGGTATAAGCTATTGCTGCCAATGTCTGCTACCAATCTGATTTGCTTTCCTTAAGTAATCTGGACTTTCTGCACAAATGTCTGTTGATTTTTTTTCCCCTTTAAAGGCTAGTAGTTTTACTAGAATGTGTCTTGATGTTGACCTAGAGAGTTATTTTCTCATGTATGCAATATAACATTTCAACATGCAGATTTAGACTTTTTATTTCCAGAAAATTTTCTTGACTTGTAATGGCTAGTATTTGTTCTATTTTAATGCTATTCTTTCTCTTGGAGGGGGATGGGTCATTCTATAATATGTATTTTATATTGTAATTACTTTTTCCTTTATTTATCACTTAACTTGTTTTAAGATTTATTTATTTATGCATGCAAGAGCTGGGGTACAGGCCAGCGGTGTGGAGGGTGAGAAGGTTCACTAGAGATTCAGTGAGAGGTAGATCCACTGCTCAGGAATACACTGAAATACACTGCTGAGGCGAGCAGTGGGTGAGACAGGAGAGGTCTGCTGTGCCATGTAGGTTAGCGCCCTGGCCTGGGATCAAACTCCTGCTGCAGTGGCTGCTGATAGCTGCATAGTGCTGAGACTTAACACCTTGCGCCACCAACCAAGGCTCCTTTATCACTTACTTTTAAGTTTACTTTTCATTTTTTAAATTTTAAATTTTTTTTATCCTTTTCTTTATTTGTATGGTGTCTTCTCATGTGTCTCTTCTAGTTGAGTCATCAATTTCTTTTTCTTTAATTTCTGGTCCTTTTTGAGTTTGCTTAGATTTCTTTTTGTATCTTCCTGTTGTCTAGTTCGCTAGTAAAGAGCTTTTCTAATTTATGATTTTTGTTCTTAATGTTTTTCTTTACTTTGTTCTATAATATTAGATTATGGATGTGGTTTCCTTTAGGCCATATTTTTTCTGCAGAATCTTTATTTTATACAGGTATGTTGTTCATTTTACTGTTACTTTCCTTTTTCTTTAAACTTTTTTTAATTGAGTAATACTGGTTTACAATACTGTATACAACTTAATGTCGTTACATTCTTACAATGTCAATATATAGTGGGTTTGATCAACACAACTTTTTCTATGGATATTGATTTTCCATACATTTTAAATGCATTATGTAACATTAAAATTTTATTAGCACTGATTTTAATCTCTAGGTTACAACCTATTAAACTATAAGCTGTTGTAAATTAGGTACCATTCTTTTGTTAGCAGTATGTTGTACTTAGCATAATGGCCTGTCTGGGTCAACTGCCATTGACACTGTGCTAGTGCTGTACTTTAGCAATTTCAATGATTGTAAATAGTATGGTGTTGTATAAATGTCTTTGTAATGTCTAGTTATTTCACTGGGCATCTGTGATGGAATTATAAGTACTTTTAAAATATGCATCAAGCAAATTTTAGGACTGAGTTTGTGGGGTTTTGTATTTGTTTTTTTTCTGCCTTCTTTCCTGCAAAGTACCTAGTTAATGGTAGGATTCATAGTCTATTTGGTACTGGAATGTTGAGTTAGTTAATTAGCCCTAATATGCTGTTGCTGTTTCTTTTGTTTTAGGTTAAATGGAAACCACCCTTGGGAGCTGGATGCCTGTGTAGCCATTCTGTCACGTCAGTGAATTGCAATGAGTGGAGGAGGAGAGCAGCCAGATATCCTCAGTGTTGGAATCCTGGTCAAAGAAAGATGGAAAGTGGTGCGTATACATGAGGGAGAGAAGGAGAGAGAACACATAAACGAGGGAGTATATTTTGGTATCTTAATAAAAAATAGATTTTTGTCTGAAATAATACATTGATTTTATACCTAGAGTAGTTATTTTCCTATGATTAAGTTTGGTTTATATTCCAGTTCTTTTTTTTTTTAAGATTTATTTATTTATGCATACAAGAACTAGGGTACAGGCCAGAGGGGAGGGGTGTGTGAGAGGATTCACCAGAGACAGAGTGGGAAATAGAACAGGCAGACTGACTGAAATACACTGCTGAGGGGAGCAGCAGGTGAGTCAGAAGAGGTCTGCTGTGCAATGTGGGTCACCTTCCTGGCTGGGGATTGAACTCATGTTTCAGTGGCTGCTGCAGATAGCTTCATAGGCTGTGTCTTAACCCCTTGTGCCATCAGGGAGGCCCCATATTCTAGTTCTTATCCTTGCTTCTTTTGTACTAAATTTCTTTTGTATTGAATTTCCTAACCTCTGATAGCTAATACTATTGACTAAGGTAAATAAAAGTATACTTAGGGAAAGAACAAAGAACTGGGATACAGGCCAGAGGTGGGGGTGGGTGGGTGAAAGGATTCACCAGAGACAGAGTGGGGAACAAAATAGGCAGACTGAAATACACTGCTGAGGGGAGCAGTGGGCGAGACAGGAGAGGTCTGCTGTGCCATGTGGGTATCTCCCTGGCCGGCCGGGATCAAACCCTCAATGCAGAAGCTGTGGAAAGCTTCATAGCACTTTGCTCAACTGCTTGCACCACCAGGAGACCCTAAAGATAAAGACGTCTTTCTAAAATATAATAATAATTTTATTATACCTAAAAAGTAATAATTCGTTTGTATTTAATATTTTCCAGTTCTTACATTTTCCTGATTGTTTTGTAAGTTATTTTTAATGGCTTGTGTCAAAATCCAATTGAAGTCTAGGTTCTCCAATTGGTTGGTATTACGTATGTTTCTATTATTTTTTAGGCTCCTTTCCATCTTCTAATAGTCTTTTGATGACTTCCTTGACTTTGAATCTGCCAGCTGTCCTCTTTTTTGGGGGACAGGGGTAAGGGGGAGACTTAAATAACAGATATTTATCATAGTTCTGGAGGTGGGAAATCCAAGATCAAGTTGCCAGCTGATTTGGTTCCTGTTGAGACCCCTCTTTCTGGACATCTCACTTCCTTCTAAAGGATCTGTTTTTGTTTTGGATATATTTAAATATATTGTTATGCATTCTTTTGTTAACTAAATATTTGTTCCATTAGCAGATTGGGCAAAGCTATTTTAGTGGTTTCCTTAATCTGTCAACAGATTGGAAAAAAGAAGATTCTTCCTTTAGGAACACAAATTGTGTTTCTATGGCACAGTGTGTTTTACTGATTAGACAAATAAGTATGCTTTGAAAAATTACTTGAGTAAATATAAGAACCATGTTATCATTATGGACTGGTATAGGAAGTTCTAACAATTGGTAATCTTTTATATAAGTAGGCATGAGTATTGCTTTGGTGAGAACTCTATATTAAATGCTATAATAAAGGTTGGTTATTCTCTGGTAGACATTTCAAAAGGTAACAAATGAAGCTATGCCTGATAAGTTTGTTCTATACTGATGATAAGAATTAATATATATGTGAACTTTCTCCAGAATTTGGGAGGCATAGTGGCATTTTTAGTAAGAAAATACAGGTTCATTGTTGATGGTGTTTTGGTTATCTACTGTTATGTAACTGCATCAAAAATTAGAGGCTTAAAACTTTTGTGGATTAGGCATTTGAGAAGAGTTCACTTAGGTGCTTTGTCTCATCCATGTGGCATTATCAGGGTTGGTTGGGTTGTAGGACCTACTTCCAAAGGACTTGTTTGGTGTCTTGGGGTTCCTTAGTTCTTTCTCTATCTCCCCCTTTCCCCACCCCTCCCAAGCTCATTTTCTTTTTTTTAAAAAAATATTTATTTATTTATACAAGAACTGGGGTACAGTCAGAGGTGCGGGAGGGTTCACCAGAGACAGAGTGGGGAGCAGAACAGGCAGACGGACCGAAGACACTGCTGAGGGGAGCAGCGGGCGAGGCAGGAGAGGTCTGCCGCGCCATGTGGGTTTCTCCCTGGCTGGCTGGGAATTGAACCTGCGCTGCAAAGAATGCAGACAGCTTCACAGTGCAGCGCTCAACCTGCTGCGCCACCAGGGAGGCCCCCAGCTCATTTCTAAGACCTCTTTTAGTCAATGACTCCTCAGAATGGTCACACTATTTACATGATGATTTACTCTTGAGGGACGCAATCTATGAAACTAGTTAAAGTCTATTTTCAGTGTTGCTTTGTCATGTTCTGTTTGTTAAAATACTTATACATTCCACCCAAAATTTAAGGGACTGGGGAAATGAGCTCTAATTCTTGATAGGGGAGTGGCAAGATCATATTGAAGAGCAAAAGGGGAGTGGATATTGTGATCATCTTTAGAAAATACTGTTTGCTACAGAACTTAATTTGTATCCTTTCCCTAATCAGCATTCTGCAGTTATACTGAACTGCCTCTGTCTCTTTGCTTCATAAGCATTGATATCGTTTTCAGGTTTTGTCAAGATTAATAAAAACTCAATTAAAAAATTAATAATCTACTGTATTGTTTAGATGACATAGAAATAGACTAAGGAGCAAAATCATTTACACCAGCCTAGAATTTTTGCTCTGTTAATTGGGACGATTTTCTGTGAGGTGAAACAACCAACCTCACAGTCCATAATTAACAGTAGTCCTTTGGTGTTATTTGAGTTTAAGTTACACTAGGTTTTGTTTAATGATCACAATATAAACATCATAAATACCAGTTGGGGTTCATCAAAGAGTAATTTACTTAGTGGACATTAAGTTCTGGAACTGTTTTTAAACCCCAAGCTCTTCCAGGATTTCCTCATTGTATCTTTTTCTTTCCATCACCAAACCAAAATAAAGAAAAATTATAGCTCATATATACAAAGTAATAGTTACCTAGCAATAGGTAACTATCTAGTTGCTACTTTGCCAAATGTATGGGGAGGGTGGAAGGGAGGGAGGCAAAAATAGAATTTCTCTTTGAAGAAGCTTAATTTCACAGTAGGGGCTAGGACATTAACAGTGGTAAGTTAAATAACCTAAGAAGTTTAAAAGAAATACTGATTCAATGATCTGAGCTAGTTAGTCTAATAAATTGATTAATCGATAAGGCAAATAATTCCTATAGAAATTCAGAAACTAGGGCCTCCCTGGTGGCACAAGGGGTTAAGATGCAACCTATGAAGCTGTCCACAGCCACTGCAGCACAAGTTCGATCCCCGGCCAGGGAGCAACCCACACGATGCAGCAGACCTCTCCTGTCTTGCCCGCTGCTCCCCTCAGCAGTGTATTTCAGTCAGTCTGCCTGGGTCACTCTGTCTCTGGTGAATCCTCTCACCCCCCGCACCTCTGGCCTGTACCCCAGTTCTTGTATGCATAAATAAATAAATCTTAAAAAAAGAAGAAATTCAGAAAATAAAGAATCAGCCCAAATGCTGTAATCAGCACAGACCCAGTAGAGAAAGAAGTAGGACTTGACATAGGCTTTCTTGGGTGATTAGAATTTAGGATCCTATGACTTCTTACACTAATTCACATCCTAGGTGTTTGATAATGTGATAGTGTCAGGAAATAGACAATGTTAATTTCATGCTTTATCTTGTAAAAAGTATTGAATATATCACCTACCACCCTAGTTTTTCATAGCCCTACAGATGCAGTTGTCACTAACTCTTTAGTATTTGCTTATAATACTCAAAGATGCTGATATTTTCCAGTTTAGCTAATACATTTTATCAGGAAGAATATTGTTTGATGAAAGTGTTTGATTTGATCCTGGTTTACTCTTATTTTAGCATATAAATATATAGTGAAAAGCTGGGGTTGTTTAGAATAGGAACTTTTTGCCTGCTCTGTAGATCTTGTTAGATGCCTCAGAGAAGAGGCTTAAGTGGTGGTGAGGGTTGGTCTCTGGCTGCCTGCTCCTACCTTCATCCTTCCCATGTACACATTTCAATTATATTAGTTCCAGATAAGATTTCAACTGGCAAAAAAGATTTCATTGTTTGGGAAATCTGCAAATGATTCCCTTAGAATTAAAATAATAAATCTGATTGTTGAGGGATATTGTGAGGAGTGAAGATTTCAAATACTGTATTTTTGTTACGTCTCTGATGTTGTATGTAGACCAAATTGTTTGTGGATGAAATAATTCCATCACTTTTTTGTGGGCAAATGATGTTATTTCTAGGACTTTGATTTCTTCTTGGCATGTGTATATTTATCAATAGTGAGATATTTTATCATAAAATAGGGATAGTAAAATTATATATGAGATGAATGGTTTCCAGTTAGAATCTTCTAGTAATTTTTTTGTGTATATTCTTATTTTATTTCTTGTGCAGTTGAGGAAGATTGGGGGTGGGGGCTTTGGAGAAATTTACGATGCCTTGGACATGCTTACCAGGGAAAATGTTGCACTGAAGGTGGAATCAGCTCAACAACCGAAGCAAGTTCTGAAAATGGAGGTTGCTGTATTGAAAAAACTACAAGGTAAGCTGTTTTGTATGATACAACAAATGGTTTATTATTTATTGTTATCTTTCTGAAACTCAATTGTATTCTCTATTAATTGAATACTTGGTATTAGCTTAGTATAAACACACTGAGCATTTTCTCTTGGAAATGTTATTACTAGCTAGTAGAAGTAGAAATGTTTATTGCTTAGAATAATTAGACTTTGGGTATTCCTTTTCATGGTGAGTAGGAATGAGAGAGAGTGAATTAATTGAAAGTCTGCTTTAGAAAGCGTTTTTTTTTTAATTGACATAAATACCTTTGAGTTCTTTCTACTTATCTCTTTGGATATTTAACATGCTTTAATCACATTAAGGAAGAGATGTCTTCAAATCACACTGCAGAATGAATTAAAAATAATACTGTTTGAATTAAAAATAATACTGTTTGATATATGTTGAGTTCATTAATTTCAATTTCATAGAAGAACTCTTTCTGGCTCTCGTCATAGTTGAAATTCATTTTACTACTTAGATTCTTGTTTTTTTTACTAAAGGGATACCTTTTTTCCTCTGACATCAATCCAGTGATGTAAAACTCTGAATCCATTGCTAATTTGTATTCATCTTTATATTTTTAGTTTAATGATATAATTTGATATTGCTGATATTTAATATTTGATCTGAATCAATTAAAAAGGGATGATTAACACATTAAATGATCTTGTTAATTTCTAGGAGGTTGTTTTGTTATGGGACATTCATTAATATCTGAAGGAATTTAGTAGTAACATTTAGAGCAAAAGAAATTGCTGTCATTAGTGGAAATAACTATAGTTGATGGACAGATAAAGAGAAAAATGCTTTGTAGCGTAGGACCCTCAAATTTATGGCTATATAGTCTCTAGTGTGAATGTACTTTGTGAGTCCCTGATGTGTTTAGAATTCTAGTACATTGATTCCTATTACGTAAATGAAATGTTTATTATATGTTCCTGCAAAGTCTATTATTTTAATTGTCCTTTGCCCTTAAACTTTCTGATTATCCAAGTTCTCTACCATTTGGCTCATTTGATTACAGCACGCTGTTAACAAAATTGTAGCTCCATTTAGTAGTTATTTTTAGCCCAAATCTAGCTTTCCTGAAACATAGGAAATGAGAAAGACAATTAATAGATCATGCATCTTGTCACTACTAGAAAACGTGAATAGTTAGAGAAGAAAGAATGAACTAATTGGAGAAGAAAAAATGAAAGTAAATGTGATATGCTCTTTTCTCTTATTTGTTTTGTACTGTTCCTTTGCACAGTAGCATAGAGGCTACAAGCAGATGTAGCCAGACCTACTTCTTCTTGGGTTGCACAGATCTTAGGAGGTCTGTTTTAAAGGATCAGTATCAACTTGACCTAGAAAGTATTGTTTCACCTATTTGTCTTCAATTTGGCCCTGAAGATATGCTTTCAGGTGAGGCAGGATACATCTCTGTGGTCCTTTAATTAGGTTTTCCTGCCTGTTTTAGCCATGACTTAACCAGGATTCTACATAATGAAACTTGAAGATTGCTGTAGTACCTTTTAATGGTTGAATCCAAGACCCTTGTATGCTAACTCTCCTTTCTGTTTTATCTTACTCTCACCTAAAACATTTTTTTCTACCAACTTTTAAACCACATGACATCCTATTTCTCAGAACCTTTTACTTTTCAAAAATAAATAGGTTTCTATGTTCTGGTCTATATTTCAGTGAGGCAGTCCTTGACAATCTTTTCTTGGCTCCTAATTTATGCCTTCTATATACTTACATCTGATAGTGTAACTTATGGGACTGAACTGCTCTCGCCTTCCTCCTGGCATAGTGACTTTTCATTCAGTGATATTGTAACAGGGTGGTCCCCAGGAAACGGGGAGGTTCCCTACCCCACCCAGGGAGGGTGGAGCTGAGCAGGGAGAGGAGAAGCTGCAGAGGAGACTGAGGAAGGAAGGAAGCAGGATGGAGTTAGAAGGAGACCTGGAGGAGGCACATGGATCCTAGAGACATGTGAAAAACTGCGCTTGTCTTTGGTCGTGGACTGGGTGACACAGATGTGGGTGAGACCCATGGGGAGGTGACCATGGCAGCTTTTATCTTGATGTTGATTTTGCTCTTTTCCTTCCGGGCTTGTCTGGTTGTTTGTGACCCTTTTCTGTGGGTCCCCACTGGAAGATGCTTTAGACTTGTGGCAGGCTTTGGGGCCTTGCTCTGGGCCATTCCCATATGGATGGACTTTTACCCACGAGGGGACGGGTAACTTTGGGTGCTTCATTTAAAAACTAGACTCTTTGCCTTACCTGTATTGTTTCCTAGTTTTATTAAAGTTCCTTCCCATTAAAGTCTCAGATGTTTTGTGTTGATGTGGCGGATGGCAGAACCCATTTAGGATAGGCAGGTTTGCGGGGTTTGGGCTGCCCCTCTCCCTGTCCTATAACAATATCCCCAAAAGGCTAAATTTGTGTGGAAAAGGTATATAACCAGAGGCTAAAAACTTTTTCATAGGATTGGCTGGTTTTAAATTGATAGCTGGTAGAAGGAAAAGATATTTTTTGATGAATTTTGCCTGAACCCTAAGGGTTGTTCCTGGAAGAAAAGTAACCCACCTTTTCAAAATTTTTATGTCGTTTACATTAGTTCTTAATTTTCTCTCTTTCCTGTATTTAACAACCCTAGATTTCCTCAGTTCATGTATAACTCTCATTGTTAATGTTCCTTTGTTATAGGTCTAAAGTGTGAATGCTTTATCATTTTAGCCCATCTTTCCTTCCGACCCTCTCTATGTTCTCTTTTCACATTTCTTTGAACTAGTGCAGATGTATTGCAATTCTCTCTTGAATTGTATTTGATTTGTACAAATGTGCTTGAAAGTTTTAGTCACTTCTAAAGTAAACCATCATCTATAAGCTTGTTTAGGTAGCATTCTCCTATATTCAGCTATTATACCTGAAGTGTCCACAGAAAATAGAATCATAAAAACTTACTATTCTAAGATTTTTCTTTTATTAATATCACTTTTCAGAGATACATTTATTTTTTATTTTTTATTTTAAAAACTAACCATGTTTTTCACTTTTTATTTATATATTTATTTTTGTGTGTGTTGGGGGGACCCTCGCTGGTGGCCCGGGATCAAATTGGTGCTGCAGAGGCTGTGGGCTGCCTCGCAACCCAGCACTCAACTGCTGCGCCACCCTGGGAGGCCCCAGAGATACATTTAAATAACCATTTGTCTTTCCCTTTTCTCCATTTGTGACTAAACTGTCTTCAAACCCTTGATTTTCAATTTATTTGCTTAAACTCTTTACAAAGGAGATAATTGTCTCCTTATCTTTTACATTTTTTTTCTCTCGCTCTCATTTTTAGTAAATGTTTTCTAGTGTCATTCTGCCTATCTTCACTTCTTTATTTTCCTGATCTCTTGAGCTATATCTCAGCTTACCACACTTTTTAAAAATTCTTTTTTTAAGAAATATAATTCATTTGCAGCAATGGTTAAGAGGAAAAAAAAACCTTTTGTTCCATGATTTCAATTATGATCACTAGTAATTCTTCAGTAATTCAGGAACCTACTACCATCAGTAATTTGCAAAAAGTTAAGTTTCCATTCCATTGTTAACAAAGTTTGACACATCTCCATATTTCCTGTAGTGAAATAGGCAAATCTTAAGTTTTCTTTATCTAAATTTTTATTATGAAAGCTTTCAAGATATGAAAAAACAGAGCTGTATAATGAACATTCATGTGTCCAATACATTCAGTAAATATCTGAAGTTAGCCAGTCTTGTTACATTACTGTCCTACTCCTTCAGCGTTTTTTCTACTTTGCCTAGAGTATTTGAAAAAAAGTCTTAGACATCATATCATCTATAACTTCTGTATATATCTGTATATGTACTTCTGTATATATTCTATCAGATAAGAATTTCTTTTTTAATGAAAATATTCTTTATTTCACTAATTGGTGAATTACCAGTCAGTTAAGAATCTGTGGAATTGAAGTGGGGGTTGTTTGGGAATGTGTCAAAATTTGACGACATTAACTTGCCTATAAGAGCTTGGTTGATATTGATGATTTTTGTGAATCCACTGAAATGTATCTTTTAAGCCATAGAAAGGCTGAATCAGTTACCCCTCACACACACCACACAACAAAACCCGAAAAACAAAACAACCACCTTCCCCATAGAATGGTGATATGAGAACATATTAGAGGTAGTTTATGATAAACATTAGAAAATGTGGGGGATTTGTATTACTGAGAAAGTGAAATAGTAAGGCCATGGACACATCTGGTGACCAGTTTTAAGAATGGATTAGAGAGGAAACCCATGTTTTGTTTCAGGTTTTCTTTTTATTATTCGATTTTCAGAACCATTTTAAGTTTACAAAAAAGTTGAGCATATACCCCACCTACTGTTCTATTAAATATTCTTGCATTAGTATGATAAATTTGTTAAATAGAATGAAACAATATTGCTATATTATTTATTACTAAAGTTCATAACTTATAACTAAAGTTCATAACTTATAACTAAAGTTCATAACATACACTGCTTTTTTTTAAAAAAAAAAAACATAAAAACAATAGTATTAATACCAGTACCACTAGTATCTAGCTAGTATTTAATTTATCTCCTTGCCTCAAAGATAATACTTTACATTTGGCTTATTCAAATCAGATTCATATACATGGCAGGTGCCTTGCTTTTGGTTGACATTGTTTTTTAAGTCTCTCAACTATAAGATTATCCCTCCCCTACTTTTTTTTTTTTTTTTGGGAGAGGGAGGGTAGGAGGCTGCCCTTTTAGACATCAGTGTAAAAAAATTATAACAGTACAAAAACACACAAAACAGACAATTATAAATCAGAGACAATGCTGCAGGGGAGGAGAAGGTAGAGGGATGAGAAGGGGGAAGGGAGAGCAGTGGACCTGTGGTGCACGGTGCACGGGTGCATTGGTGAAGGAAACTCTATGGGACTACACCTGAGGGGGGTGGGAGCAGATATTGTTTAAAAATGAACAATGATGTCAAAAAAATAAAAATATAATATACAAAAATAAAAAAGAGGAAAAAAAAAAAAATAAGTGCTTAAAAAAAAATTTAAAAATACGAAGTCCAATTTTTGGATTTGACTGACTCCATCCTTGTGATTTTTTTTTTTAAACATGTTCTTCTAGAATAAACATTATTAAAATGGCCATCCTACCAAAAGCAATATACAGATTCAATGCTATTCAATCAAATTCAATGTCATTCTTCAAAGAAATAGAGTAATTATTGATGGAATTCATATGGAATCACCAAAAACCCCGAATAGCCAAAGCTCTCCTGAAAAAAAAAGAAGGGAATGGAGGCATCACACTCCCAGACTTCAAACTATACTACAAAGCCATAATCATCAAAACTGCATGGTATTGGAACAAGAACAGACATACAGACCAATGGAATCGAATAGAAAATCCAGAAATAAACCCACAGATTTATGGTCAACTAATCTTTGACAAAGGAGCAAAAGACTATGCATTGGAGCAAAGAAAGTTTGTTCAATAAATGGTGCTGGGAAAACTGGTCGCTACATGCAAAAGAATGAAGCTTGACCACTACCGCACACCATACACAAAATCAACTCAAAATGGATTAAAGAACTAGACATAAGACCTGAAACCATAAAATACATAGAAGGAAAGATAGGCGAAACACTACGTGATATTCACATCAAAGACATCTTTACAGACACATCACCCAAAGCAATGATAGTGAAGGCAAAGATAAACAGCTGGGACTACATCAAATTAAAGAGCTTCTGCACAGCAAAATAGACAATAACAAAAACAAAGAGAAACCCCACCAACTGGGAGAACATTTTTGCACACAACACTAATGATAAAGGACTGATCACAAAAATCTGCAAAGAGCTGATGAGACTCAACAACAACAAAGAAAATAATCCAGTCAAAAAATGGGCAGAAGAGCTAAAAAGAAACTTCTCTGAAGAGGAAATGCAAATGGCCAACAGGCATATGAAAAAATGTTCAACATCACTTGTAATCAGGGAAATGCAAATCAAAACTACCATGAGATACCATCTTACACCAGTGAGAATGGCACATATTAAAAAAACTAGCAACAACAAATGTTGGCGAGGTTGTGGAGAAAAAGGAACTCTCCTGCACTGTTGGTGGGAGTGCAAACTGGTCCAACCACTATGGAGAGCTGTGTGGAGATTTCTGGACCTATTAAACATAGAACTTCCATATGATCCAGCAATTCCACTCCTAGGTATTTACCCAAAGGACACAGAAACATCAATTCCAAAGAGCACCTGCACCCCTATGTTTATAGCAGCACTGTTTACAATAGCTAAGCTTTGGAAACAACCCAAATGCCCAAAAATAGATGACTGGATCAAGAAGATGTGGTCCATATATACCACGGAATATTACTCAGCATTCAAAAAAGATAAACACATGCAATTTGCAGCAACATGGATGGCGCTGGAAGGGATCATGCTCAGCGAAATAAGCCAGAAAGAAAAAGAAAAAGACCGGATGGTCTCACTCATAGCAGGATCTAGAAAACTTAAATAAGGGACCAGGAAAATGAATAACTATAAGAAAGTGAAAATCAAAATCAACAAAAAACTATGAACCATAGACACTCTGTGGGGCTTAGGGGGTGGGAGGGGAGGGATTGGGGTCAAAATAAGGGGGTTGCAATTATATGGGGAATATAAAAATAAAATTTATTATAAAAAATAAATAAATAAATCTTTTTTTTTTAAAAAACATGTTCTATTTCCTATGAATTGGTAGTTTGCATCTAGAGGCTTTTGATGAAATTCATTTTGTTACTGTTTTTGGCTAGGATACATTGTCTAGATCCTCTGTTCCCCTTAGGGATTGCAATGATAATTTTTCTAATTCTTTTATTCCTTTGAAGTTTCTTAACTGGATTTTTCCTGCAAAATAGATTGTTTGTGCCCCTTGAAATATAGTGATTGTAAAAAGGATAGGTAAAGGCTTCATTTTTCTTCCCAGTTTTCATAATAATATGTGCCCTTGTGGGACTAGTAAGTTGTTTGCATTTGTTTGCTTTAAGTAACACTATGAACTCATGGATTTTTATATTTTATTTTAGGAGTCATTCTTTCAATGCTCACGTTTTTACAACTTTGACTAGTATAAACCCTTTCAAGTTAGTTCTGTCTTTCGACCTATCTCCTTGCTTTTTCACACAGCAATATATTTTAAACTTACCTTGAACTTTCCCTGAGCCATAACTAGAATCAGTCACCCTATTTCTCCAAGGACTCCTGTTTTGAGAAACAATCAAAACTGCAATGTGAGCACTAGGGCACTAATTACTGTTGACCCAACAAATTTGTCTCAATAGGTTTTAATAAGTACTCGATTTTGCCTGCTTTATTCTCATACACATTTTTCAAATTATTTGCATTGTTTCATTTTTTAAAATACATCTGTGCTCTCTTTTAAATTGAAAGCATCTTAACAGACAGGAATTATGTGCAGATCTTCCTTAACCTCTAATGAGGTTACATCCCAATAAACCCATGGTAAATTAAAAATATTCTAAGTTGAGGGGCCTCCCTGGTGGTGCAAGGGTTAAGACACAACCTATGAAGCTATCCGCAGTTGCTGCACAAGTTTGAGCACCGGCCAGGTGGCTACCAACATGGCACAGCAGACCTCTCCTGATTGCCCGCTGCTCCCTCAGCAGTGTATTTCAGTCACTCTGCCTGTTCTGTTTCCCACTCTGTCTCTGGTGAATCTTCTCATCCCCCACACCTCAGCCTGTACCCCAGTTCTTGTATGAATAAATAAATAAATCTTTAAAAAAAAATACTCTAAATTGAAAATGGGAACTGCTGCTTACTGCCACTACCCAGTGTCAAGAGACCATAGTACCAATTTCTACTGAATGCATATCCCTTTCACACCACTGTAAGGTAAAAAATCTTAACTTGCACCATCATATAAGTTAGGGACTCTCTGTACATTTAATTTTGATGGTTGTAATAAACTCAGTGGTGAAATGAATAACACAAAGTAGCTTTGTTCATTGATAAGCATACATTTGTAAATGGGAATTGGAGAATAGGATAAGAAGTCATCTATTTCTGGTTATTTTCTTAATAAAATTCATTGAAATTTTTTTTTTTTTAATAGAGGCATGTTTTATTTATTTATTTGTTTTGTTTTGTTTTGTTTATACATGCACTGGGTACAGTCAGAAGCGCGGGAGGGTGAGAGAATTCACCAGAGCCAGAGCGGGGAGCAGAGCAGGCAGAAGGACCGAAGTACACTGCTGAGGGGAGCAGCGGGCGGCAGGAGAGGTCTGCGCGCCATGTGGGACCCTCCTCTGGTGGCTGGGGAGCAGCCGGGGATCGAACTGGCGCCGCAGAGGCCGCGGGCAGCTTCGCAACCCAGCGCTCAACCGCTGCGCCACGGGGGAGGCCCTCATTGAATTTTTTTGTAAGAAAGGTATACTGAGATTTTAGAGCAATTTACTAAACAGTGCTACTAATGATGATCAAGTTACCTTTGGAATGACTACAATTCATAGCCTCAAAGCTGTATTATCTGGAAATTTTGTTCTTCGTTATAATAAAAGATAGTCTCTCTGATTTTCTAGAAAAATGACATATATTTGGTTTAGGTGTTTTTTGGCTTGAATATAATGACTTAATGGCTGAGTTTAATGGCTTGGGAATTCAGAGTATCATAATATTACTGTAATCCATACTGTTTGTCTTTTTATCGAAGGAAGTCTTCTTAGGATCGTTAAAAGTTTTTATTTTGTTTACTTTTCTACCAGTTGGCATATAAATATATACTTAAGCATAAGAAGTTTTTCTTTAAAATTATTCTGTAGATCAGTTTCCTCACTAATACTTTGTGTTCAGTGTTTGTTAAATCCTATCTCTTCCTGTGCTTTTTCAAAGTATCAACTTGAGTAAAACTTTGTTTTTTCTTCTTACATATTACCTTACATGAGACATGAGAAGGTAATTAAAGGATTATTTCATTATTTAAAAGTTTTTGTAGTGATCCTCTAAAAGCAAGTGAGTATCCTATTAGTATCAAGAAGCAATAGAGTAAATACTATAGTTTGGTAGCCAAGAAATTTTATTATTCTCAGTTGAAATAATTGGTCTTGTCTTATCCCATATAAGTGCAGGGGAAAATGACATTTTTATCATAGCCTATAAAGAGGAAGTAATTTTTTTTTTAATTTTAGGGGCCTTTTTTTTTTACCCTGAAATATTGGTCCTGGATTTTATTTTTGCTTTGTAGGCTGCAGAGCACAAGCTGAGAGTTGGGAAGAAGGGTTACTGTTACAGGAGAGCAACTCCATCTCTTCTGCCTTCCCTCCTTGAAGTCTCCAGCTACTGCTGCAAAGTATGATTACTTCCTTACCCCAGTCATAAGAATATAAGAAATATGTAGTTTCTGGATTAGACCACTGATCTATCCAGTGTAGAAGATTGTGTATGAAAGTTTCTCTGACATTGCTTATCATCATTAATGCTTATCTGTTAAAAGATGTTAGAAGATCTTGTGTGACAACGTAGTAGTAGTACTCTGGGACCCAAGAGATTAGGGATACCCTTACTCCTCATTATATCCTCTAACCTTTTATACACCTATCCTCTGCCTTTTTGTGTTTTCAACCTGTGTATTTTTCCACTTTAAGTAACTCTTTCTTGCCCTTGTTAAGGTTCGTATCTTCCATCAAAGGGTGTTAGGAAATCTCTGAATATTTAACCTGTTGAATATGTCTTTTTAACATTTCATACTTGGAAGACAGCATTATCTGCCAACTTGGGGATTTGTCTAGTCATTCTGTTTGGGTTTAGAAAATTGACACGTAGGAAATAGAGTAGATTTATATTATTTTAATGAACAGAGATTCATTTTCTTGAAAGAATAAAAGATATGCATGAGTGTCTTTTTAAACACAAATGGACATAAATTTATGTTTCATATATCATATATAGAAACAAAGTCTGGAATACAGAACTCAAGAAGCCATAGGGAATGGTTAATTTGGGTATTAGAGGAAAGTAAAGAATCTTTTACTTTTTCCCTTTAGACCTTTTGGTTCTTAAGAAATTAAAAATAATATGCTAACATTTCTTTCATTGTGAAAATGGCAGTTATAACTACCTTCAACATTTATTCTTACTCTTTATCTTTTTTAAATTTCTGTGTGCTTGAAAATCCATGGTAAATGAGTACAATATATTGTAGCATAATGTAATTAGAAAGTTGTTATAAACTTACTTTAAATGATTTGTAATATCTGTGGGGAGATCTGTAACAGTGTGTGAATGTTTACTATATGCTAGATAGAACACTGTTACTAAATGCTAGACTCTGTACTTATTTTAATATCTTGTATCTATTTTAAATGTAGTTTGTGTGTAAGAACTCCATTTTTCTTTTTTTACAACACTTCTTACAGATGTAAATGTTAATAGAAAAATATTTAAAAATCGAACAAAAGAATAAATGAAAAACAAATGTTTGCTTTCTCTTAGCCCTTCACCCTCCTCCAAAGTTAACCATGGTTAACTGGTTTCTTGTGTTTTTATTCCTGGAAATATGTGATAAATGTTATAATCTGTCCACACCTATATATATTAATATAGTCCATGATTATATATGTGGGTATGTATGCGTGTTTAAAATCTCCTTCCCTTACTTACCTGACTCCCCTAATAATGTGTGGCTCATTCTCTAAACAACTCTGCAACTTGATGAGACCCCTAGATTTAGATGGTAAGATTCATGCTCCTTGCAATTTTATGTTCTGCAACAGGAATAATCCTTCAAACATAACAGCTGGATAATGTCACTCCCCAGCCTTTGCTCAAAACGCTTCAGGGCTTCCTTTTTCTCAGATAAAGTCCACCACCTTAACATGGCATATAAGACCTTGAATTGACCCTCTGTTCGTCTCTGATCTCTTTCTTTGAAACTGTTGAGTCATTCTGAACTTAATTTCTTAAATAGTTTATGCCCTCTCATCTGTTGTCTGCTTCCTCTGTCTTCATAATTTGGGATAACTTTATTTTTTCTTCTTTTTAAAACTTTACAACAATTCTAGTTTTTATAAAATTCCACAGGTAAATAAAAATTTAAACAAATAAAGCAAAATACAATTAGGAACTTCACTTTTTTCCTAAGCATATAATATCTAAAATATACATATATACTTAAAAAAATGATCCCACTAGCTTGCTTGTTCCCTTTCCCTCAATAAGATTATTATAGGATTTATTTTTAATTTCTTATGATCAGAGTTATAAAAATAGTTTAAATAATCAGTCAGTTCTACAAAGTTGTTATGAAAAACAATAGTCCAGGTTCTGGTTCCAGATAAATGGAGTAAGCACACTTCACCCTGTCTCTTCCACTGAATGCAGCTATAAAACCTGGACAGAATGCTTGGAGTGGCTATTTGAGGACTCTGAAAAGTAAATAGTAGGAGGCAGATTGGGGAAGAAGACCAGAATTCAAAGTACCACTGAAGCGGCGGTGAGTTTACCATTTTTTTCTTCCGGTATGCCCCAGCCTGAACTTAATGTAACCTGAAACTTGAAAGTGGTCATTAACATGGACAGAAAAAGGACCAGGAACATCCTCTAGTTCTGGCTCAAGGAACAGGAAAGGGGTCTCCTAATATTCAGAGAAAATGTGGCAGTCCTACATCTTTCTCTTTTTTTCTTCTTCTTTTTCATTTTCTTGTTCCCCAGGCCTCAAGCCTCAGTGAGGCTATGAGGCCTTAGCCTCATGGAGGTCTGAATCTCAGAGGGAGGGGAACCTTCCTCTCAGATTGGAGGAGCTATGGTTTCAAGAGAATGGGGCAAATCCCATTGCTTTTTTGCTCCCTCTGCTCTTCTGTTGCTTGGCCCTGCTGTGGGCTCAGTCATGAGAAGTATACTGCAGAGTGGTGTTAATGAAGCCTCGGCTTTCTTCTGAGAGGCTGGAAAAGGGGAACCCTAGGCTGCTGAAAGCAGTACAGTGAGGAGCTTGGGAATTAACTGCTTAAAGTTGCTTATGGACTTCTGAGCTGTGTATGCATAAATCTGATCATCCTATACAGCATACATAAACAAGAACTGAATTATGAGATTGACCACCCCCAAGTTCCAGACTGAAAACTGCAGGGGCAGTTATGAAACATATTCAGTATGACTGCAAAGTCATTGCAAACTGAATTAAAATTGGAAATAGAACCCACAGAAGACTGCTCAGAGCTTGAAGTGTTAACCCATCTGGTTCAGTTATTGGCTAAAACACTGACATTCTCAAGGAACTTAAAATAAGACTCAGCCCCTTAACATAATATCCAGAATGCCCAGAGTACAATCTAAAATCACTTACCTTAAAAAATACCCAGAATACTTTCATTCACATGGGAAAATAGAGAACACAGATGCCGAGGCCAGTGCCAAGATCACACAGATGTTAAAATTATCTCAAAGAGACTTTAAATCAGCTCTTTTGATCATGTTCCAGGAATGAACAGGAAGATAGGAAGTCTCAACAAAGAAATAGAAGACATAAAGAAGAACTAACTGGAAATTTTAGAACTGAGAAATAAAGCAATAGAAACGAAAAACTCACTGGATGGGCTCAATAGCAGAGTGGACTTGACAGATAATAAATAAATACACAGAGTCTCAGGGATCTAAGAGATAGTATCACAATATCACAAGGTGAAACATTTATGTCATCAGAGACAGATTGAGAAGAAAACGAATGTGATGCAGCAAAAATATTTGAAGAAATAATGATATATAGGTTGGAGGAAGAAATAAAATTGTTCCTATTTGTATATGACATGATGGTATGGTATATGTAGAAAATCCCAAGGAATTCACAAAAAAAAATTCCTAAAATGACTTAGCAAGAGATTCAAGGAAACCCAAAAAAGCAATCATTTTTTATTTATTTTAAAGATTTATTTTTTAAATTTATGCATACAAGAACTGGGGTATAGGCCAGAGATGCAGGGAGTGAAAGGATTCACTGGAGACAGAGTGGGAGCAGAACAGGTGGATTGATTGAAATACGCTGCTGAGGGGAGCAGCGGGTGAGACAGGAGAAGTCTACTGCACCATATGGGTTAGCTCTTCTGGCCGGGGATCAAACTCATGCTGCAGTGGCTAGCAATAACTTGATAGCGCTGAGATATTAACCTATGCGCCACCAGGAAGGCCCCAAAAGCAATCATTTTAATAGACTAGGGTAAGCAGTTGAAAACTGAATTTTAAAATGACCATTTACAGTAGTGCTCCCAAAATGAAATACTTAGGTGTAAATGTAACAGATCTTTGTGCTGAAAACTATAATATTGTGACTTTAAAAAAAAATCAAAGATTTAAATAAATGGAGGAACATAGTCATGAATTTTAAGATTCACCATAGTAAAGATTCTCATTCTTCCCAAAATGACCTATAGATTTAACATTAATACCAAATACCAGTCAGCACTGTTTGTGTTTATAGGGAAGCTGATTCTAAGATCTATAGACAAATCAAAGACCTAGAATAGCCAAAACAGTTTTGAAAAAGAGAAATAAATTTTGGAAAAATTAAGCTACATGATTAAAAAAAAACAAAAACTAGGTACAAAACTACCATAATAAGACTGTGGAATTGGCAAGGGGATATACATAGAGATCAGTGGAATAGAATAAGACCTCCAAAAGCAGACCCACAGCAATATTACACTACTTTTTTACAAAATCATAAAGTCCTCTTAGTAGAGGAAGAACTGTCTTTTCAATAAGTGATGTTGGCTAATCCAGTTGTTCCAACAGTTGGCCAGCCATAATAGATAAAATACCTTGACCTAGACCACCCACATTACCTAAAAATTAATTTAAAAGTTAACATGAATCTAAATGTAAAATATAAAGCTGTAAAACTTTCACAAAAAAAAAGTGGGAAAAAATCTTTTTGACCTGGATGAAGGCAGTTAGCATGATACCAAAAGCAAGCTTTATAAAAGAAGGTGATACATTGGGTTTCATCAAAATGAAAACTTTGCTGTGACCTGCAAAGAATATGTAAAGAACTCTGAAAACTCAACAGTAAGAAAACAATCCAATTAATAACGAAAGGTTGTCAAAGAGTATATGGAGTGGCAAGTCAGTGCATGAAAAGCCATTAGGGGAATGTAAATTAAAATGATGGAGAGTTGTCACTGCCCATCCCTTTGAAATGTTAAACTGTTGACAATACCAAGTGCTGATAAGGATGTGGAACTACTAGAACTCTTACACATTGCTGGTAGGGACACAGAATGATACAATTTCTCTGGGAAAAAAATTGAACATGTACCTACTGTATGTGAATATGAATAGGTATTACCTAGCCATCCTATTCCTAAGCATTTACCATGGAGAAATAAAAATTTATGTTCATACAAAAGCAGATACTTGATATTTATATCACTTTTTGCTCTTAGTTGCCAAAAACATGTCCTTTAAACAGTGATTGGATAAATCAGCTGTGGTATATCCATACGATGGACCACTATTCTGTAATAAAGAAGAATGAACTACTAACACACACAACTACTTTTAATTTCTTTGTCTTAGGGAAATCTCTATAGGAACTTCTTACTCTGTCCCAGTTAGGCCTGACTACTCTCTAGACTCACAACTATCATATAGCGAGTAATATAGATTACTCTATATTCACAACTCTCATAATCTTCCCAGGGATTCTCTTTGCTTCTCTTTTATGTCATATGCTTTATCGAATCTCTTTTTTGTTTATTCTCATTTTAGTGAAACACCCTCACTTAGCTTACTGAATAAAGGGTGCATGGAAATAATATTTTTGAGACCTATCTTGGGTATCTGAAACTTTTGTTATTTTTTATCCTACCTTCACATGTAAATTATGGCCTAATTGGGTACAGAATTCTGAATTGACGATTTTGTTTAACTAATTTGCCTTGAAATTTTCACTGTAGCAGTTGAGAATTATAATTCTATTATAATTCTTGTTACTTTGGCAACTTGTAAGTTTTTCTTTGCCCCTAATATTGAGCAATTTCATGATGATATACCTTAGTATGGGTGTGTTTTCCTCTAGTATATCAGGTTCTGTCCTTTATTGAAATGCATGATTTGAAGGTTTTTCTTGGGAACTTTTCTTGATGGTGGTTTCAACCCTTGTGTTTTCTCTGTCTTCTATTCTGGACCTCCTGTGATGCAGATATTGGACCTTTCAGAGTGATCTCTACTTTTTAACCTCTTTTCTCCTATGTTTACATATATTTGGTCCTATGCTTTTGTAAAAGATAAGTACCTTTTAAAAGTAGAAGGTGAAATTGTGTTCATTTTATCCACAAAATCCTGGTAGTTTTCAGTTGGCCACTGAAAGAGGGCAGAGAGTCTTGTTAAAGTGATGAAATTGGCTGTGAAAAGTTTGGAAATTTTCTTCTGCCAGTGAATTTTCGTCCTGATGAGCTTACTAGAACCTAAGGAATTGTTAGATGGGCATCTTTGTGAGAAATGATGAGTCTTTGTTCCTTTGTTACTGCCTAAATTATTTCCCCCCAGGGACTTGTTTTAGAGGACATCTCTTCATTTGGTATTAATAACATGTTAACTCAGTCAAGCTCCAAGCTCTGTGATGCATTCTAATCCAATAAATCTATTCCTGTGTAATCTGTTCTTTGTTCTCATAACCTATAGATTTATTTTACACTATCCATATTAATTAGTATTTTATAATAAGTCCATTTTTTTCCAATAAGACTGTAAATTTTATGAGGACAGAAACTAAACCTTTTGTTTTTTCACTTCCCATGTCTTAGATATTTCATGAGTTGCTGTTATTAAATGGTGTGTTTTGTTTTGTTTATTTTGGTGGGAATGAGTAACTTTACAGAGTATTTAGGTAAGAAAGGTAAAACTTGTTTTGTTGTATCCTTAGCAGTTCAGTCATCCAACTTTGCAGAATCCCAATATTTGCTAATTTATACTTGACCAAAATTTGTTTTATGAATTCCAGCTCATTCCTATTAGTGGTTTTGGTACTTTAAATTTTATTAGCAGATGGCTCATTTATTTAAAAAGGAAAATGAGTGATACTCCCTTTTCATTGTTTTATTTGATCAACAAGCCATGTAAAAATTACATTTCTATGGCATTGTTACTCTTACTAATATATAATGCTGTAATACAGACCTACTACAATACCACCCCACAGTCATATTTTTTTAGGCTCTTGAATTGAAAGCAAGAATAGTAGCTGACCAAATGACACTGTAAAAACAAAGAGATTTGTTAGGTTATACCATTTAGAGTATAGCATGTCTGTTCCTTTACAAAAAGACTTTGGGCAGTTAGAAGATGTTTGCAAATAACACTTGCTTTAATCTTTTCATATCACAGTTAAAATCTGTATTTAACTGGCAGGGTGCTGCTTGCCATATAATTTGCATATAATTTGCATATAATTGCATATTATTTCATTGTGGTTTTTTTTAAGATTAATATATTTATACTTGACCAAAATTTGTTTTATGAATTTAATTTAATGAATAAAAGAACAGGGGTACAGTCAGAGGTGTGGGAGGGTGAGAGAATTCACCAGAGACAGAGAAGGGAGCAGAACAGGCAGACAGACTGAAGACACTGCTGAGGGAAGCAGCTGGATAGGCAGGAGAGGAGGAGAGGTCTTCTGCGCAATGTGGGTATCTCCCTGGATGGCCAGGAATTGAACCTGCGCTGCAGAGGCTGCGAACAGCTTGACAGTGCATCATTCAACCCGCTGTGCCACCGGGGAGGCCCTGTTTTTTTTTTTTTTAAAGATTTATTTATTTATACAAGAACTGGGGTACAGACCAGAATAGATGCTATTTTTATATCCAAAGACTAGTCTTTTTTGAGTAGACATACCACGGATTACTTTGTTTTCAGCTAGGAGCTTGGTGACAGACCACATGAATTCTCTGTTGACTGCTAGGGTAGTTAAGATCTAGGAGAGCAAGAAAAAACCTTGGTGGTAGTATTTTGAGTGGCTGGTAAAGACCTGGTAAAATTTAGGATTCCTTTGTCAATTTTTTTACACATGAGAGACAAAACAAAGTTAAAATTGGTATGCCAATACATTTCCATTATATTTACTTGTGATTGATGGACTCTGACTCCTAGTGAACAGGTACCCCGTTACTGACCTTCTTCTCTAGTTCCATTTGTATTCCTTACTTTTTTGCTCTTACACAGAACTCTTATTTTAATCGTCTTGTTTATCAAGGACTTTGCTAGGTAACTGGCTTGATAATATCTGAAAATTTAATCCTAAGTATTAGTTGGCATTATTACCTTCTACAGGGATATTTAGATACTTAAGAGTTGTGTTTGATTTGAGGAGCTAAGATTGAGGAAGGTAATGTGAACACAAAGTAGAATATTTGAGAGGGAGGATAAAAAAGACATTTCTCATTAGTGTATATCATGAGAATATAGTATATAGAGAATATTATTATTCATGTTAAGGAATTGAAGGAAATGAAGTCTGATAGACAATGTAGAACCAACCTCAAATTCCAGGTTCCCCATTTTACTCTTGTTTCTCTAGGCATTACCATCTGTTGTTTCTTGAATATGCAAATAACATGAAATTAGTATTTTAAGATTATCCTGTGAATAATCTGTGGGTTCTTACATGAGACAGGTTTGGTCTATTCCAGGGAAGTACAATTAGATTTGACAAAATGGAAGATGGAGGGTATGCTAGGTGAACCTGGTCGATAGGTAATAGGTGGTAGTAGTCCACTAGAGTAATCAAAGTCAGGGGAGTGCAGAAGGATGTTTCTAAGAGGTGAAGCACAGGACAAGGCAAGCCTATGCCTGTC